TATTTTAGCAACCCCACATTTTTCTCTCCTCCCCTCATGATTTTTTTTTTGACATCATATTTTAAGTATTTTACATCTATTTGCTTATTTTATCCCTTAACTGCTTACTGTTGATATAGGTGATTTTCCTAATTTGTATTTTAACTTTCCTACTAGCTTTGTACATGGTTAATTTACTAACTTCCCTGTATATTTGCCTTTACTAATGTGTGTTTGTTTTTAAGAGTAAACACTTTATTTTAACATTGCTTTAGATTTAAAGAAAAATTGCAAACATAATACAGAGAGGTAACATATACTCATACACAGTTTCCCCTATTATTAAGTTCTTGTACATAGGATGGTACATTTGTCACAATTAATGAATCAATACTGGCACATTTTTATTAACCATAGTACATATCTCATTCAGATTTCCTTAGTTTTTACCTAATATTCTTTTACTATTCTAGGAACCCATCCAGGTTACCACAGTACATTTATTTGTCATGTCTCCTTATACTCTTCTTGGCTGTGATACTTTCCTGAACTTTCCTTACCTTTGAGGAGTACTGGTACAGTATTTTTTTGAGGAGTACTGGTCAGGTATTTTGTAGAATGTTCCTCAATTGAGATTTGTCTGATATTTTTCTCATGATTAAACTGGGTTTATGTGTTTTAGTGAGGAAGGACACAGAGGTAAAGTCTCATTCTCATCACACCATATGAAAGGTACATATTATCAACATGACTTACCATGTTGATGTTGATCTTGATCACCTGGCTAAGGTAGTATTTTTCAGATTTCTCCACTGTAAAATTGCTTGTTTGTGACCCTTTCCATACTGTACTCTTTGGAAGGTTGTCACTATGCTTAGCCCACACTAAGGAGTGGGTACTCATGCTCTACCTCCATGAGGGTGGAATATACACATAAATTATTTAGAATTACTACTGTGTTTTTGTTTTTTTGTTGTTGTTTTATTTGCAGTACGCGGATCTCTCACTGTTGTGGCCTCTCCCACTGTGGAGCACAGGCTCCGGACATGCAGGCTCAGTGGCCATGGCTCATGGGCCCAGCTGCTCCATGGCATGTGGGATCTTCCCGGACCGGGTCATGAACCCGTGTCCCCTGCATCGGTAGGCAGACTCTCAACCACTGCACCACCAGGGAAGCCCAATGTGTTTTTAATTTCATAATTTTCATATTTCTAGTTGTAGCCTCATATTTTGCTTAAATAAGTCCCTTTAACATTTCTTGTAAAAGTGGTTTGATGGTTTTGAACTCTTTTAGCTTTTGGTTGTCTGTAAAACTTTTGATCTCTTCATCAAATCTGAATGAGAGCCTTGCAAAGCCAGTGTTCATGGTCGTAAGTTTTTGCCTTTCATCACTCTAAATATATCACGCCACTCACTTCTGGCCTGCAAAATTTCTCCTGAAAAGTTAGCTGATAGCCTTATGGGAATTCTTTTATGTAACTTGCTGCTTTAAACTTGCTACTTTTAATGTTACCTCTTTGTCTTTAACTTTGGCCATTTTAATTACAATGTGTCTTGATGTGGTAATCTTTTTGTTGATTCTGTTTGGGATACCTTTTGCTTCCTGGACTTGGATGTTTGTTTCCTTTCCCAGGTTATGGAAGTTTTCAGCTATTATATCTTTAGGTATGCTCTCTGTCCCTTTCTCTCTTCTCATCCTGGGGCCCCTATAATACTAGATGTTGTCTCAGAGGTCTCTTAATCTGTTCTCATTTCTTCTCACTCTATTTTTCTGTTCAGCTTCAGTAATTTCTACTCCTGTATCTTCCAGTTCACTGATCTGTTCTTCTGCATCTTTTAGTGTACTCTTGATTCCTTCTAGTGGATTTTTCATTGCAGTATTACATTCTTCATCTCCGTTTAGTTGTTCTTTATAGTTTCTAACCCTTGTTAAAAACTTCTTACTTCTCCCTCTGTTCATCCATTCTTCCCCCTGCTTCTTTTGTCATTTTAATGATCACTAACTTGAACTCTTTCTCAGGTAGATTGTCTATCTCCACTTTACTTAGTTTATCTGGGGTTTTATCTTGTCCTGTTACTTAGAGCATGTTCCTTTGTTCCCTCATTTTGCCTAACTTCTGGCTTTTATTTCTGTGTATCTTGTACATTGGTTACATTTGCTGACTTGGAGAAGTGACCTTCTGTAAGAGATGTCCTATGTGTCTCAATAGCACACTCTGCTTGGGTCACCAGATCTATATGCTCTAGGTATGCTTCCTATGTTGGCTGCAGGGTCCTTCTGTTGAGGCAGGTTGAAGTTTTACTGTGGATGGTCTGGTAGACATGCCTGCTCCTAGTCCAGTTGATTGCCCAGACCTGCCTTGTGTGAATGCTGCCAGCCACTGGTTGATGGGACCTTTCACAATGTGGCTGCCTATTGAATTCTGGGAGGTCCTGAAGATAGTGCTGGCTCATTGGTGGGTGGAGTCAAGGTCAAGAGATTAGGTCCCAGGACTGGTGCTGACCTGCTTGTAGGAAGATTGAGTCCTGTCACAACAGACTGAAGGACTATGGTTGTCTTAAGACTGGTGTCTGCACACTGGTGAATGAGGCTATTCCCATGTCTAGAGCAGACTCACTGGTGGGTGGGGCTGCAGGCCAGGGCATTCTGGGGCTGGTACCTGTCCACTGGTAAGCAAAGCTGGATCTCTAGGTCTCTAGCTGCAAGGCCCTGGTGTCTCAGGCCTAATGTCTGTGCATTGGTGTGTGAGGCCAGATCATGAGTCCTCTGATAAGTATAGCTGTGTCCAGGGGTGGCTGTGGGCTCAGGGGGTCTTAAGGCAACCTATCTGCTGGTAGACAGGGCTGTGTCCTTGACCAGTTAGTTACTTGGCCTGAGGCTGCCCAGTACTTGTGTGTACGGGCTGGTGAGCAGGCGCAGAGCTGGGTCCTAGGCTTATAAGCTAGAGGGAGGATTCCTAAATGGTGCTTGTCAGTGTCCATGTGGTAGAATTAGCTACCAAAAATGGCTGCTACGGTGTCTAATATCCCCAGAGTGAGCTCTAGTTGCCTCCCACCCCTCTACGAGGCTCTCCAAGATCAACAGGTAGGTCTGACCCAGGTTCCTTTCAAATTACTGCTTCTGCCCTGGGTCACAGAGCATGTGAGATTTTGCATGAACCCTTTAAGGGTGGAGTCTCTATTTCCCACGTCAGTCTGAGTCTCCTAAATGTAAATCCCACTGGCCTACAAAGACAAATATTCTGGGGGCTCATCTTCCCAATACAGGAACCCCAGTCTTGGGAGCTCAATGTGGGGCTCAGACTCTTTTCTCCCTAGGGAGTACCTCTGCAATTCTAATTTTTCTGCCTTTTGTGGATCACCCATCTGGAGGTATGACTCTTGACTATACCACAACTCCACCCCTCCTACCCATCTTATTGTAGTTCCTTCTTTATAATTTTAGTTATAGAATATCTTTTCTGATAGGTTTCAGTCTTTTTCTTCAATAGTTATTATGTAAATAATTGTAATTTTGTGGCTGTGAGAGGTGAGCTCAGTCTTTTTACTCTGCCATCTTCTATTTATGTACCAACAATGTCTTTTATGACCTACTCTCAGAAGTCAAACTCCATAATTCCTGCCACACTCTACACTTTAGAGAAGTCAAATTTGATGTTTTTTTAATTTAGTGCCATGGTGTATTTATATGTCTATTTCCAGCTCAATTCCTCACACACAGCATGTGCTCCATAAATCCTGCAGGAAGGCATATAAATATCAAAAAATGGAACTGCTGATTATATGACTTTATATTTACAACAAAGGACTACTATAATGCTAAATCTGCAAATCTTAGAATTTAGTGATGAAAAAATAATCCTCTTTGCTATTTTCTTCTATTTATAAGCAGACACTACATTTTCTATAAGTTTTTATCAGGTTGGAACTACTTTCTTTGCTGTCATAAGGTCAGAGCTACATTTAGAAGGTGTTACCAGGAGATTCAGACTCAAAAAATACCTGTTAAAATCTGTAGGAAGTTAAGTTTCAAGCCAAGACTGAATAGAGGAAATCAATCTATAAATTTTCAATTTGTGCTCATTTTAATAAAGGAAAAAGACTAATGTACTCTCTGCTTAAAAGAGGACGGATGGATTCAAGTTTCTAAGGATATTTCCTTTACTTCAGGAGAAGAGTGATAATGAACTGTCAATTTCCCCAACTTGGTTTTCTGCCTGGGCAGGTTTTATCAATGGGCCTGTCACAATGCTGAAATTGGGTGTTCTTGCTATGTTGTTTAATAAATCTAATATCTTGAATTCTTGCAGTATTAGCCAAATAAACAAATAAAAACTCTTAAAGAAGATCCCATATAATATTTTTTTTCTTGTTTAATTTTTAGCAGTATCAGTGAAATTGCCATGTCTTTCACAAGTGGCATATTTATATTACTTATTGAATCCAGGACTTGAAAACAAGAAATTATATTTTTTTCTGTTATCCTCAAAAAGTTAAATTATTTGGAAAGTAGTACTATTTTAACTTTTGGCAGTGCTAATAGGTAAGTAAATAGAAAATATAGCCCCTATTGTGTGAGTGTGAGTGAGTGTGACTGTGGGTGGTGGGTTAAAGGGTCTCTTGTCCCACTAGGCTGTCTCAGCATCTGATGGTCTGCCATCTGAGACTTACTCTTTTGGCTTACACTATTACGTTTAAGACTCTGTCATTTGCAAAGCTCTACCTAATTTTCAGAGTTTATCCATTCATTAATTATTTCATCATCACACCATAACTATGATATAGCCATATAAATTATTCATACCCAATAATAGGGAAGGAAACTGAAACTCAACAAGATTAAATTATTTGTCAAAGGATTCAAGCAAACACTCAGGCTTTCTGACTACAGTATTTCACCAGTATCACAGAATGATAATGATTATTTACTATAAGCTATTTGGGGCTGTTATGAGTCAATTTTCATCATCTAAACTCTTCTTCCTTCCCTAGAATCCTTCAGTGGACAAACCGTTGCTTACCTTGTCTCAGAAATGCCCACTTCACCAGGAGCTGACTTTTTCCAACGAAATTTATTTCTATCTGGTAACATCATAACCTCTCAGTGCTCTTGGAAGATCCCATTGTTGAATTCCAAAGCTTTTCACAGTCTACCTGTTGGGATTCAGAAAAATGAAATAATCAAGCCTTAGGAAAGACAAGAATGAAATTAAGGAAAGCAAAAGGATATGCTGGGCCTTTGACTCTGCCCTTAGAATCATTTCAAAAAAGAGTCCTGAGATAAAGTTGCAGCTATGGATATGAAGCAGGTCTTCAAAGTTGTGACACTAAGGACTAAAGCCAGGGAGAAAAGGACTAAAGCCATGCAGTTTTCATTAGTCAAAACTCTTTGGTCACATGTGAAAACACTCAATACAGCAGTTTAAGACAAAACAGGAAGCATTAGACCATGTGACAAAATAGAAGAACAGAGTGTAATAGGGTAGATGGAAGCTAAGGTTAGGGACAGCTGTAACCAGGGACTTAAACTATGCTGTCCACTTCTTATTTTTACTTTTCTCTGTGCAGATTCTTCTTTCTCTACTGCAACGTAATAGTGATGTGGAGGATAGGGTCTTTGAAAATAGACCTCAGTCTTATACTCAGTGTTCTTTATCCACAGACTAAAGTTGAAAAGAATGATCTTTCCCTACTTGGATTTAGAAGTTTTTAGGAGATAACACTAATAGACTTTGGGTTATATACCAACTTCTCTACCAATCAACATGTATGGGTATAATGAGTTTTATGATAGCTCAGTTTGGGTCATGTGCCCATAACTGTAGCCAGGAAAGAAGGTTTGGCTGCCAGAAGAAAGAGAAATGGTACATTTATTGCATTTTAGATCAGGAGTAGATCATGGAGAGTTTGATATGCCCTGCCAAAGAATTTGGAGTTTATCACATATGCATAGTTTATTCACTCGCAGATTTAAAAGTAAGAAAAACATAATAAGTTTTGCATTTTGAAAAGACAATTCTGGTATCAATGTAAGGGATAAAACAGAGATTATTCCCTAGATTTATTGAAGTATAATTTTTCAAGGTTTTTTGAAATATGATTGATATATGGCATTGTGTAATTTTGAGGTGTACAGTGTGATTATTCAGTATATGTATATATTATAAAATACCACAATAAGTTTAGTTAACACATCCATCAATTCACAGAGTTACCTTTGTGTCTGTGTGTGTGGTGAAAACATTTAAGATCTACTTTTTATCAACTTCAAGTATAACATACAGTGTTGTTAACTATAGTCACAATGCCATACATCAGATCTCCAGAACTTATTCATCTTCTGACTGGAAGTTTGTATCCTTTGACTAATATCTCTCCATTTCCCCCACACCATAGCCCCTGGCAACCACCAATCTGTTCTTTCTTTCTATGAGTTTGGGGTTTTTTTATTCCAAATATAGGTGAGATCTAACAGTATTTGTCTTTCTCTGTGTGACTAATTTCACTTAGTAAGGTCCATGCCCTTAAGATTCATTCATATTTTCATAAATGGCAGGCTTTTCTTCTCTTTAATAGTTGAGCACCATTCTATTGTATATGTGTGTATACACACACACACACACACACACACACACACACACACCTTCTTTATCCATTCATCTGTCAATGGACACATGTTGTTCCCATTTCTTAGCTATTGTGAATAATACTGCAATGAATATGAGGGTGCAGGTATATCTTGAAGATATATATATATCTTCAAGATTGCGATTTCATTTCCTTCAGATATATACTCAGAAGCTGGTTTGCTGGATCATATTGTAGTTCTGTTTTTACTTTTTTGAGGAACCTCTGTACTCTTTTCCACAGTGGCTATTCCAATTTACATTCCCACAAACAGTGCACAAGTGTTCCTATTTATCCACATCCTACCCAATGCTCATTGTCTCTTTGATGATAGCCATTCTAACAGGTATACGATGATATTTCATTGTGGTTCTGATTTGCATGAAATAGAGATTTTAAAAAATACAAGCGATAGGTGTTGTAGGAGACTATTCTACTATATAGCTAAGATTCAATGATGGTCATAAGGAAGGCAGTAGCAATGGATGTAGAGAGGTAGGGCCAGGCTTGAGAAATGGTGTGAAGATAGAATCTATAAGATTGTGAGGGCTTGGGAGTGGAGAGTGGGAGAATATTTCTATATTTCTAACTTGTATGATTGCATAAATGATGGTATGATTCACAATGTATATAAAACATAAGGAAAAGCAGATTTGGTGTCATTTTTTAAATAAATTTATTATAAGATCTGTCCAGTTTTCATCCCTGGATTATTGGGCAGTGACTACAAGCTTTGCTATCTAGAGAAAGAATGATTATCCTTTGTCTGCTGTAATTGAGCTTGTTGAGCAGGTGATATGTGGTCAAAATGTAGGTAAAGACCTTTTAGAAGTGACTGTAATCACAGTCAACAAGGAGAATGCTTTGACAAATGGCCTTTGTTCTCCTCACTCACTGAAGCTCAAATCTGTATCTTCCATGGTGCTTTTGTGCATAAAGGTGCTAGTTCTTCAAATAGTACACCTTTTTCCTTTTTACCTATTTGCATGTGTATGTATAGGTGTGTATGCATCGCAAATGACTGCACACTACTTTTAAACTCATCTACAAATTTTAGAGTGAAGAATAACAATGATGGACATGGCACATGTGTCTATAAGGACCTCAATAAAGAGCTTAGAGATTGTCCATTATCACACATTTGAGATCCTGAAATGGTCTCATATCTGATTAATATCTTTCTATGTGAATTTGTTTTCTCATAAAGTTCTCCTGTCATGCTGCCATAGAATCTTTAATAATCACTCAAGCTCAGCACATGTATGATGATATTACCTTGACTTTGCTAAAAAGCTTCTCATTCTTTATTGGATCTCAGTGCCTCAAGCTATAGAATGCATTCTTTCTGTGCTTATACCCATAAATAATGTAAAGAATGTTAGCACATCCTTAGTAATCATTTTGACAAGCTATCCAATGTGATCTTTTAAGATTCCATCATTAAGTAGTAGTCTCAGTTCCTTTTATCAGGAGGATTTGTATTTCTAAGTATTTTTCTCTCTCTTCTAGAGCAGGGCTTGGGAATCTTTGGCCTGCAGGCTGGTTATCGATTTTTTTGTATTAATACAGTTTTATTGGAAAATGGTCATTCCCATTTGCTTATGTAAGTCCATGTTTGCTTTTGCTTTTGTACTACAATGACAGAGTTGAACAGTTGTGACAGAGACTAAATAGGCTGCAAAGACTAAAATATTTACTATCTTACTCTTCATAGAAAAGGTGTGGTGACCTCTGTTGTGAACTCTGCTTTCTTTTATTTTTCTTTTAATTTAGTAAGTACATTTTATTTATTTATTTATAATTTTCTTTTATGTCAATTTTTTTTTTAAATTGAAGTAGAGTTGATTTACAATATCATGTTAGTTTCAGGTGTACAGCACACATATATATATATATATATATATATATATATGTATATAATTTTTTTTTTTACTTTTTAGATTCTTTTCCCTTACAGGGTTTTACTAAATATTGTGTATAGTTCCCTATGGTATACAGTTGTTACTTATCTATTTTATATATAGTAGTGTGTATATTTTAATCACTGAAATATTATTTCTTGATAATGAGAGATCCTGATTACAATGAACATTCTCATTAAAAACACGTAAGAATGGAATGATGAAATAATATTTTAAAAATCTTCCTCTTTTCCTCTCTCAGCTTCTTTTTTCACATAAGTCATATTTTTCTATTATGTGTACAACTTTGGTTGAATTTGCTACATTCCCTCCTCTAATAGTGGTATAGTCAACTAGTATCACCAGTGCATGTGTTTTAGAGGTTGATTTCTTAGGTAAAGTAGTAGATCAAAATTATTTTTTGCTATTGTTTTGCTCTTCTATCTGCATTAGAGAAATACTTTACCTTCAGATTATTTCTGAGAAAATCTAACAAAATTCAAATATTTATGTCCAAGAAAGAACTCGTTTATTACTATTCTCTGTGCTTTCTAATCTCAACTTGTTTCTAGGGAAATGGAGATGTCACAGTTATGTCACCCTAACAAGCTGAATCTTAACCATTTTTCTGTGTTTGCCTACATGTGATTTATAAGATCTCTGGACTATGAAAACATATTTAGTAATATGACATAAAAATTCTCATACGATTATTACCAATATGTAATCATCGTTCTCCCTTACGCAAAATGAGGTCCCTTTCTGGAGGAAATAAAAGTTAAAAGAGAAATGTAAAGATAAAACACAGAAACAGAAAATTCCTTTCCTAAAACAGAAAGGTGAGAAACCAATGGTTAGAATCTCAATACACATGAGTCAGTTTTACACAGTGCTCTGGAATTAGTTTGAACCTCAACTCTGTGACTTAGCAGCTGTGTGACCTATCTAAGATCCATTCCTTATCTCCAATGTGGGGATAATTAATAATAGATCCTAGAGAGATTGGTTCAAGATGGAGGAGTAGAAGGATGTGCTCTCACTCCCTCATGTGAGACCACTGGAATCATAAATAACTGCTGAACAATCATCGACAGGAAGACACTGGGACACACCAAAAAACATACTCCACATCCAAAGACAACGGAGAAGCCACAATGAGATGGTAGGAGGGGCACAATCACAATAAAATTAAGTCCCATAACTGCTGGGTGGGTGACTCACAAACTGGAGAACACTTATACCACAGAAGTCCACCCACTGGATTGAAGGTTCTGAACCCCACTCAGTCTTCCCAACCTGGGGGTCTGGCAATGGGAGGAGGAATTCCTAGAGAATCAGACTTTAAAGTCTACAAGTATTTGATTGTAGGACTTTGACAGGCCTGGGGAAAAAAGAGACTCCACTCTTGGAGGACACACACGAAAGAGTGTGCACATCAGGACCCAGGGAAAGGAGCAGTGACCCCAAAGGAGACAGAACCAGACCAACCTACTAGTGTTCGAGGGTCTCTGGCAGAGGTGAGGGGTGGCTGTGTCTCACCATGAGGACAAGGACATTGGCAGCAGAAATTCTGGAAAGTAATCCTTGGTGTGAGCCCTCCCAGAGTCCACCATTAACCCCACCACA